ATAATAAATGTTGATTTCTTTTTGAGTTCAGTTTCCTAATCGAAATCCATGTATTTTATTTATTTCCTTTTTATTTATTTATGCAATGACATTTAAAACTCAGTCGAGAGTCAAGAAATGTAATAATTATAAATGAATCATTGATAACTAATTAATTATCATAAACAAACTGTTCTCCTGGCTAAGTCCACGTTTTCAACAGAAAACTTTTCATTTCCAGTTAAAAGCAATAGGAATTTTGATAGGATCTTATTGGGGAATGTAATTTTATTTTCCTTGAATCAAATTGAATTTCCGATAGAATCCTATAGAAACAAATTTCTAATTGAATCCAATACATTCCAATTATTTTCAATTGGGCGGATTTTTGGTTTCCTATTAACCCAATTGAATCTAATTGGATCCAATTCAGATTAATAAATAATTAAGAATGATAATTATATTTTTACAGACTACTTCTGGCCAAATCTTGTGACCCGAGTCACAAAATCTCGTCTGTTTTGAGTTTTCATTTGATAATCTAATCTGTTTTACTTTTAATTCAGTGTGATTTGTTCTTAAGTTTACGATTTATTACTGATATTTTACCCAAGCGTTAATTTATCCGATTTTGTCTTCATATTCATATGTTTTTCTTCGCTTTTTGGATTTTATCAAATTTACTCTTCTCGATTATGTATTTGTAATTAAGTTTATAATTAGAAAGATAAACATAAAAACAATATTCATAAAGTTTTAACGGCATAGTGGCAGCGTGCTAAACTACTCGAGTCGAAAAATAAGACCTGACTTGGACTATTTTTTTAAATGTCAGAATAAACATATTTCTATCGGTAAAATTTCATCCATTGCCTTCGGCTGGGGATAAAATTTTTCTCGCTGAAGAAATATTATATTTTACACTCTTGATACGAAATGGGCAATCAAGTCGAAATCAGCTTTTAAAAATTTTTCGACCTGCTTTGGATTTGGGAAACAAGACTTGATATTAAATCAACTATTGCGTACATGGAGAGGAGGTTAAAGTAAATTTTATTACGGAATTAAAATAATTTTTACTATGTTCTGTAGTAATTCTGGAACAGACGAAAACTCAAGTAAAATTTACTATGCACCATAGTAAATTTTACCACGGCTGGTAAAGTAAAAATCATATATTCAGAATTTAAAATTTCAATATCCCGACGTAAAAATTACAATGTTACATTATTTAATTTTAATATGATACAGCAAAAATTAAATTTCTATATTATAAAATTTTAACGTCTTTTAGTAAAAATTATTAGATTTTGTAATGAAACTAATAAATATATATGTATATACATATGTATATATATATGTATGTTTATCAGTTTCATGTATGGATATATATCTGTATTCATGGGTGATTTAAATCAAAACCTAATTAGTTAAAAAAATAAAAACAATAAAAAATTATTTAAATCCAAAACTTTGGAATATATTCATTTTTAGCAACAATTATTTTCCATGATAGGAATGAATTAAAAAGAATAATTATTTAATTATTTCTTTACTAATTAAATAATCAATCATTGTTACTAACTTAACGTGAACAAAATAATCTTCTTAAATCTTCTCAAAATATTCCAAGTACGTCTTTAAGTTTTCACAAATGAAATAAAATTGACACATCTAATGAAATGAATAGCTCATCTATCCTCATTCCTTTGTAAACAAGTGAAAAGTGGGGATGACGGTTGGAATGTGAAGTACTTTTAGTACTTAGTAATTTTAGACAAAAAGTAAAATAAAAAATATAAGATGCTTTGTAAATATTTTAATTTATAAAGTACAATTATTTTTAAAACATGATAAAATTTATTTTAATACTTTTTAATATACATTCGATAAAAAATTACTATGGGTTATGGTAAAAATTAGTACACATAATGTATAAATTAATACATCCTATGATAATTTCTGAAGAAAATTCAGCCTGTTCCTTGTTTACTATGCACCCACAGTAATTTTTATTTTAACTCTCTCTCCGTGTATGTAGCTCTAAATCAGGTCGAGACAATTTTTAGTTTCGATCTGCTTTTGACCTTTTTTAAAGTCGAAATCAAATCTTATTTTTTAACGGAAAATTTAGAAAATGTATTCTTTTATAATATCTATGCAAAATAACTAGACGTAATAATCGTTGTCTAATTTAATCGGAATTTTTCGTTTGTAGGTAAGTTTTTGAATTATTTCACTGGATATTTGCCCTACAAATTACATTCCTTCCTTTTTTATTTATTAGCAAAATCTTTGTGTTAGCAATATATTGCATCGAAGGAGAAAATTTGTTGCTCTTTTCTTTCACAAAACTTACTTTTTCGTTATACCCGCGTGGAAAGTTCACTTTTTCATTGGAGAGGGGTTGAACTTTCCACACAGGTATGACAACAAATCATATTCAGCCCTAGGGAGGAAAAGTAGACTAGCTTAAACCACGTGTTCGCCTTCGGCTCGGGTTGTAATTTTACACGTGGTTTAAGCTAGTCTACTTTTCCTCCTTAGCCGTGAAATGTACTATATATACAGAAATGACGAAAAATTATATTCACAAATAGGGAAGAGAATAAAACCATATCACCAGCATACGGCTTGAGTATTCTGTTGCAATAACATGCTCAGATAAAAAATACCCTATTTCGATTCCTTAATTAATAATATGATATTACTCACGGTAAAAATACTTTCTCTTCTACGGACTATGTAAACCGAATAGAAGTATAATTTTTCAGCCAAACTATACAGAGAAAAATGAATTCTGTAATTTTTACTTTATAGGAGAAGTAAAAAAATTACAGTAATCAACACTAAATTGATTACTATTCATTTAAAGCACAAATCACTATACGTATCATCTATTTGTTGGCTCTGTAAAGTATTTTTCACATTTAAAATATAGTGAAATAATAAAGCTATCCATACTTCAGATATCAAAAATTTTTCTATACGTAAAATGAATGATACTTTTCGCTACGAAACAGTATGAAAATTTTTATTTTGCAATTAAAGTCAAAATATTTTGCCATTTTTGTCTTCAGAAATTTATTTAAGCGTAAAAATAAAGTTAAATTCACAATACATTCTTAACAATGAATAATAATGTAATATAAATAAATAAATAATCCAAACTAGATAAATTCACCTTTTTTTTTAAATTCAAATAATAATTACAGTTTGTACCTTACTTTTGGAACTGTGCATTTATTTTAGAAATTTTTATAGTACTCAGATATTATAATCTAAAATGTATCATATAGGTGGTCATAAAAGTAAAAAATTTTTAGTACAAAATACCTTACTGTAAAGTTACGCGACAGTTTTAAGTTTACTAAAAGAGTTAGGTAAATTTTATTTTATTGTGTAGTTGTCCCTATATTTACAACAAATATTAATAAAATTTACCACAAATCAAGTTGTATTCACGTTATTTCTTCTCCGTGTCAAACTATTTTTTCTATAATAGTGTCCATATTTATTTTAGTTTACTCTGAAATAATAAAAAAAATATAACTTGAATAATACAAAAATCTATTCGGTTTATAAAGAAGATAATCATGTTTAATTGTAATTTTAAACGGTGATGATGATTAATGCTCAATTTTCTGTATTTGGTTCAAAAGTAAAGTAAAGAAATCGTGTGACAATACATATTGTTTTCTTTCCAATAACGTGAGTACCCAATAAAGTTAAAGTTAAAAATGAAAAATTTGAATAGTTAAGAATGAGAAAAATAGAAGGAAAAAATTAGAAATAATGGAATACAGAGAGAAGATTTCAAAAGTTTGCAGCTGTCATAGCAGCTGCATCCCGCTGCATCATCCTACTCATAATTTGACCACCTTCTCTCCTTTTGTAAATTCTAATATAAATTTTACTTTACTTTTTGACATTTTTATGAAATTTAGTTTAAGCTATAATGATATAAAAAAAAGTTACTCTTAATTATCGATGTAAGTCTATTAAAAAGAAATATTTACAAGAAAAATATTCAAGTAGTCGAATTTATAAAAATATCGAAATGGAACAGATTATATTAGATACTAGAAAAGGCAACGATATTAAATTGGCTAAATATCTGGATTTTAACGTAAAGTACGTTTAAACTTTGAAAACATGCTGAAAAATGAGCAAAACCACAAGGAATTATGAAGATTGGGCTCGTTTTCTGATTCTCGAATAAGGAATCCATGACCCTTACAATGGAATGTGCAGGCCAGCTGCTTTACGTGAAATCAAACTTCCTGTGCCACGCACATCTGCTTATGGTTGGCTACAATTACTCAGACATTTTTTTTTAAATTTTAAATACTCACGATGTGGACATTTTCTTTAATTTTAAATTTAAAATTGACTGTATCATTATTATCTATGTGACAATCGAATTAATATACATTTAGATTTTGAAATTAATACAATCAACTATACATATATATCGTGTACTGAAAATGTTTCAGAATAAAAATTATCATAGTAATTAAGATGAACTGCAAGCAAGACAAAAAATATCTGAAAAAATTTTTAGCGTTTAAACCTTTATTTACTTTCCAAAGTTATTCATTATCTTATATTTATAATTGATATAAGAAAACATTTGCAACTTAATATTATGCTATAATAAATAATAATTCTTCATCATAATAAGATATTCAATAGATATGAAGAATTTTTTTTGCTAAGTTTGTAACTTATTTAGTATGTCATTGGTTAATTATAATCTTATTTGCTACTCTAAAGGTTTACATATAAACCTACGAAAATCAATACGATATTTTATCAAAAAAACTACTCAACATTACTCTTGAAACCACTTTTATCGTATTGAGAATAAATTGAATAATTGCAAATATGTTATAATATTCAAATGTTTTTCATAATGTTAGAGTACATGTTTTTTTCGATTCTTAATAGTAAAGTTTAGTAAAACTAGCCATTAATTGGTATAAAATAAATCAAAAATCAAAATGAAGTATAAATAACTCGCAGTAAATTTTCAAGTATTTATTTTGTCTTGTCTTAGACTATTTTTCGTGAACTATCACTCTATTTGTCTAATAAGAATTCAAAAAACTGCTTCCCAAAGCAGCTGTCGTTTCTCCTTCTCACTCTTCTTTTTTCTTTCTCTTTCTCGCTCTTCTCCTACTCTTTTTTGTTCTGATTCCAATATTCACGTCAACTATCTCTTGGTATTTCAACTTCTCAGTCAGTTTGAGTAGGTTATGCTCAATGTTTGCATGGGGGAGTAGTTGCTACAAGTTTATTTACAATATATATTAGAGCAGAGAAGCGTTCATTTTTAAATAATTATTAATACTTCTACCGGATTCACGCTTTGTCGAAGCATTAAATTGTGTTTTCTCTTATGAGTGTATAAAGTTGTATTTTACGTTTTTTTTTTCAAATTTGTTAAATAAAGTGTTTTTAGTGCACAAAGATTTCATTAATAAAGATAAAACGTCAGATAACCCTTTGGGTTGAATTACATTTCGATTGAATTAGACTAACTTATAAGAATGGTGCGTGGATTATCTCAGTGGACCAAAACTTTAAGTTTTCCTGCCAGAGTATCACCTCAAAAAATTGGAGAAGAAGGAAAAAATAAATTCAGTGTAAGTCCAAGCATCAGTCTCACATCACCTTCAAGTCCAATTAATGAAATCATCAATAAAACGCCAATCATTACTGATGAGGTTGGTTTTTTTTACAATACATTACTGCAAACAATTTTACTATTGTAAAAGTTACTTTCTTGTTTTTGAATCTCAAATTATTATCAACACATGTGTACAAGCTCCATGCATATAAGAAAATTGAAATTTTATCGAATATTAAAAGACATAAGATTTGGTTGTTATCCCCAAATTACTCTTTTGAGCGAATGAAGTACTTGATTGATTTAAAAAATCATCACGAGAATTATATTATCATGAATTTCAATCAAAAAAAATAATGAAAAGTTCAAAATAATTTTCACAGTATTTTTATCTTCTATTCATTTTTGTTTTTAAAAAATTACATTAATTAATATTATGAATGATTGATACAGTTAATTATATTGTATTCGTTTTTTTATTTCAATGTATTTTTCAAATTTTGTTAATTTTTTGTTTCTAATAAGTTTTTAAATGTTGGAAAATCAAATTTTCATTTTTCAATACGGATAATCAAATTATTATCATTGTATAAGTAGATTTCTGTTATAAAATAGTTAGTAACACACAGAGTATTTGGATCATACAAAACCTCATTTAAGTGCTATAGGTTATCTATACATAAAGAAGTTCAAGGTTGTACATGCGTTCCTCAAGAAATATTTTAGGTGATTGAAAAAAGCTCTTCATTACTTCAATTAACACTTGGTAGTTACTACCAAATTATCTCTGAAAACAAAACTAGTCCATATTTACAGATGAGTAAAATTTATTACGTAGACTATACAAAATATTTACTAAAATAGGTGACATATTACAGCTGAGTGAACCCAAATATTTGCTAACTTAAATCATTACTTATTACACAATTTTTATCAATGATTATTAAAATTAAAAATATTTCATGAATGTTGAAACAATATTCATTTTACTTTAACTAAATCATTTTAAGTAAATACTTTCTTAATCTCAACATCAAAAAGCGAATTAGTCAAGAATAGGCTCAATTATAAAAGTTTGAATTTTAAACATTATTGATTTATGAATTAATGTATTAATCAATCAAAATTAATTTAAATAATAATGAAATTATTCAAAAAAATTGTATTATTTTGTTACAGACGTTTCAAGATCTTGAAACTGAAAAGGCCATTATGAGTTCAATTGTCTTCTGCATTCATCATAAAGACGGTTGCAAATGGTCTGACGAATTGAGAAAGTTGAAGGTACAACACCAAATTTAAGTACTATTAAATTAAGGATTATTGAATTATTATAAAGTTGAGGTCTACTCGATATCATTAGTTGTTTTGATAGATTATTGAATACAGAATTCGAATTTTTTATTACTTATTTTTTTTAATAGTATTAGAAAAAGAATATAATTAAATCTACCCTGAGGTGAATTCAGATATTTAAAAATTAATCATCCCGAGATCGATAAAAATTGAAAAGCTTTAAGAGCCTTAACAATTGTACACGGAATTCTTTTGTGTTTAAAATTCCTATTAGTAAAAAGGTATGCATAGCTTGAAATAATGAATAAAATAATATCTGAATTTTTTAGGCTCACTTGAATACATGTAAACATGATGCGGTTCTCTGTAACAACAAATGTGGGGCAATGATTCCTCGTGTATTAATGGAAGATCATTTGAAGTATACATGTGCTCAACGTCGTGCAAGATGTGATTTTTGTGCTAAAGAGTTTACTGGTCATACCCTTGAAAAACACATGGGTACTTGCAGCTATGAACCACTTTATTGCGAAAATAAATGTGGTATGAAGGTTCAACGAAGACATCTGAGCCAACATAAGCTCGGAGAATGTGTTAAAAGACTCGTTACTTGTAGATATTGTAACAAAGAATTTGTTTTTGATACTCTCAGTGTTCATCACACCAAATGTGGTCGTTTTCCTGTGGCTTGTCCTCATCGGTGTGAAACTGCTGTGTTACCCCGTGAAGATCTTGAAATTCATCTCAAAGATCATTGTACCACTCACCTTCTATCTTGCATTTTTAAAGATGCTGGATGTCGCTTCAAGGTATCAAATGTACTTTAATATAATTTGAATGGCTTTAGTTAAAATTTCTTATTAAAATTTTGGCATTGTTTCAACATAGTTCTAGTTTTTCAGTTACCATTGTATTGTCTTTCAACCTATTTAATTAGATTCATTTTCAATTTTTAATAAATAACAAAGATTACTTTGTGATTTACGTTACAAAATAAGAAAAGGTTTTAATGAAAATTATGTATGAAATGTTCATGCATTTTCAGTATGCAATGTATACAATATGATAGATATAGATTAAACAGCATCAGGTTCCAATATTAAATTATTTATGTATAAAATATGTAAATAATATATAGCTTAGTTTAGAAATGACTTTAAGATTTGTGATCCATCGATGTACGTAAAATCGAAACTACATTAAAAACTTTGTTCTAACTGTTTTCGATTGCTGTAAAATTTGATTTTCAGTTAAATATTGAACTATTTTAGATAAAGCTGATAATGATATAAAAAATTTAATTGAAAACTGTAGATATTTAATAGTGTTAACATACTTTATTAATGTTGCGAAATTTTTTAATTTCTTTAATTTTATAATAACTAAACAATACAAATTTGGTCTATACCGAGATGAAGTGATTATTTACTTATGTCCGATTAGTCAAAGAAATTCAGAAATTGATGAGTTTTAATCGCATATTTTTGTTTATTAAATATTCATTTCATGAAAATAAGGAAAGTTTGCACAATTAAGTTGCGTTAGAATTTCGAATCTCTTTGTTTCGCTTGATGTCAAAAAATACATTTGTTCAGTATTATTTCGAAACAATTGAAATTTTGAGTTAAATTATTGCTAAAACCATATAATCAATTTTTAATTTTGTATTTAGGGAAATCGTTTTTCACTGGATAAACATATGGAAGAATCGACAAAAACCCATTTAAGTCTAATGTGTACTGTTGTAACAAAGCAGCAACATCAGATAACAAGCTTAAAATCTGCAATGAGTAAACTCTCTCTTAATTGCACAGGTACACTAATATGGAAAATCAATGATTATTCTGTAAAAATGTCTGAGGCAAAAGCTAAAGAAGGAATAGAACTCATTAGTCCTTCATTTTATACTAGTCAATATGGATATAAACTACAGGTGATTATACTTTCAATTGAAAAAATAAATACTGTAATTGATGTAATGAATTCTTTTACCCTTATTATTAAAATTTCTATTTTAATTTTCTTTCAGGCGTCCATTTTCTTGAATGGAAATGGCACAGGTGAAGGAAGCCATATATCAATTTATATAAAAATACTTCCAGGTGAATACGATGCACTCCTCCGTTGGCCATTTTCTCACAGTGTATCATTTACGATGTTTGATCAAACTGCTCAAGCCGACAAAGCTTGTAATATCGTCGAAAGTTTTATACCCGATCCAACGTGGAAAAATTTTCAAAGACCAAGTCGTGAACCAGATTCGCTAGGTTTTGGATTTCCACGGTTTGTTTCTCATGAAATGGTAAAAAAACGACATTTTGTCAAAGACGATGTAATGTTTATAAGAGTTAAAGTTGATCCGAGTAAGATTGTAGCAGTTTAAGAAAGAATTCCAATTTATATTTTTTCTCAATAGACTAGATTATATCATAATTAGTATCAAAAAGTTAAACTTAATTGATTAAAATCATAACGAATAATAATAATTTAGATGATTAATTGTATAACGAGCAATAGAGTAAGTGTACATATTTTTGAAAATAATATAATTACGACAATTGCCAAGAAATAACTCCAGTAATTTATAAGATATGTATATATTTTTAAGGAATATTTTTATAGAGATCTTCATCATTAATATGTGATTTATATGTTGATAATTATGTAATTAATGAAAGTATAACAAGAAAATGCTGATAAATGATCAATAATATTCGAGACTGATGAAATATTACATCTATTAAGATTCTTAGGCTGGTGAAGCTCTTGTATAATATTCAGACTGAAATAGAAAATAATAAAAATTATTCTAATAACTTCATTAATAAAAAACGTTATCAAGATTTATTATAAAAAACATGTCGTAATTAGCCATTTATTTACTTAATGGTATTTTAAAACTATTTAATAAAATTTTTGTTTATAGTTAGTTTGATGGAAAAAACTCACTGTGTTAAGTCTAAATTGTTGATCCATAGCATAAGGTAACAGAGGTTTAATACTTGCTATTTCCATAGCTGTAAGATGATTTAACATAGCATAAACACCGCTCTGATTTTTGAATAATTCGTCAATAAAAGTCCGCAACTTTGACATTCTTAAATCCCAAATATCCTTTAAAAAAATTTTACAAGTTAAATATTGAAAAATTACTTCGCTGGGTTAAAATACCTTTACAGTTGTTCGAATATTATCAACGTTATGAAGATCTTCATCAGCAGTACTGAGTAATATATGAGCCTCATCCATGTAGTGGTTACTCGGCATCACAGTAAACGCTCTATAGAAAAACAACAATATAAACGACAATTTTACGTATTTTATCAATTAAGAAAAACTTATTTACTTTGAAAGTTTTTCGTTTTCTTTTAATACTTGAAGGTTTTCTGTTTCCATCCAGTTTGGACATACAATTCTACATTTTTGTTGTTGTTTTAAATTAATTGCAAGCCAGATAGGTACAATAACCGGCATTCCAGCTCGAAAAGGACCCACAGAGCCAGATATGAGATGTATCTGACCGAAATTAAAATTAGGAACAATTTTGACTTGCTGTGCTTCTCCAAGAAATTCTATTTCATTAGAATCCATTGTACATATTCCTAAAAAACTAAATTTAATAAAAATTTTTTACATCAAACAAGACAAAGAAGAAATTTCGCCACTACTCAGCGCAGAACAAGAACCATCGATGTAAATGATACCGGACCGAATAAATTAAGAGACGTTTAGTATAGAGTCCCTCAAGATAGAGTCTGACAGGCACACCAAACTGTGTATTCGAAAAAAACCTTATTTTTGGATATTTCTTTTCTTAAATAACACTATTCTTAGATAGTCTATGTTAATAAACACTTTATCTTTAAATTTGTTTATTCCAAAATATTTTTATTCATAAATATTAGTATTGTTAAATAACTATACTCTTTAATATTTTTTATTCACAAAAAAAAGTAAGTTCTTCCAGAACTGTATTCCAGTATTTTTTCAGTCGATAATATAAATTATTATTTACCATTAGATAAAGTACACAAAATTTCATAATTATTCCGTGAGATGTCGACATTATCATTTATCACGTGATTAAGGCTGGGCTGAAGTCAGAGAGGCGACTAATTCCCCCCATCTAAATACATGGGATCGGGATATTTCTAATTTCTTCGCCAATTTACTATTATTTCTTTAAAATTAGGTACCAAATTACAGAGGAATAAATGCCGGACTGACGTAAATAACAATTTTTTGTATGTAGTGAATATTTTTATTAAAAAAATTAGAAAGAATAATGAACAAATTATGAGTTGACTAGCCGCACTTAAATTCCAAGATGGCGGCCACTTCATTCAGATGAAAAATTACTTATTATTTTATTTTTATACGTTTTTCGCCCAAAATTCGTATTTGCGTCAGTCCTTGCTACCTATCTGAATGTCAAAAAAATCAATTTATAGTACAGTACCGGACATAAATGCTGTGTGATTTTCTATAGGACGGTATAGGGAAATCGCTTGTATAACCCTTAAAAAATTAAACAGCATTTATGTCCGGTACTGTATAAAATCGAATAATTTAGAAATAATTAGAAATATTGTCTTCCAGATGATTTTCTCCGGCAATTAGTTTGAAAAAATTCCGATAGGTGACAACATTATGCTCGTAGTGACCTCAGTCAGAGAAGAGAGACCAGTATAGAAGTTCAGTCCTTTAGGAGGGGAGCGTTCTTAGGAGCAGAGAGAAGACTTTTCTCTGCTTAGGAGCTAAGAAATGAAGTCAGCATTTATAAAAATGACTGCAAGATGGCACGCCAACCCGGCATCTCGCCGAGCTGAAGTGAAGGGTGGAGCTTAGTTTCGTTCTTAGGTAGTAGGGAGCGAAAAAAATATAGTTTTTTAAAAATTTTTCTCGGGCAATAAAACCCCTATTGTCCCAACAGCCTTAATTCCACAAACAATAGGGACTTCTCGAAGTCCTGGAACAATAGAGGTTTTATTGCCCAAGAAAATTTTTTAAAAAACTCTCTCTAGGTGCCAAGTTCCAGGCCTTTCGAGCAGTCTCAATATTCTTTAAAAAAGTATATTCTTCAATATAGGTTCATAGAAACTTTTATGTTGTGACCTGAGATTACCGACATGTTGACCGAAACTTCGTCCGGATTTTTAACACAGCATTTGACTTCTATACTGGTCTCTCTTCTCTGCTTGAGCCTATGTTCATGTTATAATAAGAAAAAAGTTTTTAATTTAAAAATTATAACTGGCAAAAATCATCTTATAATTTGTATAGAGACACAGTAGTGCCTCGTCGTGACGTTAGGGCTAAATGGCGGCGATTTATGCTTGGCGCACGAGACACTGCCGTATCTCTTGATCTAAACGTGAACAAAGCAAATGAAAATATGCTGGCTTTGTAGTCAGAAGGTTCGGCATTTATTTTACCGAACAGTGTTCGATTTCAATTATGCAAAATTTTTTTTATTTAAATTTCATATAATTGCAATTTTATCATGCTAAAAATGAGTTTTAAATTCCAATTTTTATGTAAAACCATCTTTTAATTAATCGATGAAAAAATTTAAACAGGGCCATTGACCTTTTTTTGTACAGATACATTGATAATAGCCTCTTTTTACTCTCTCTTCCAACTCTCTGTGCTCAAGCCTGCAGCTTATAAATTACGAACGTGCGGAAATTGTCATACATGTTCTCAGATATGTCTGGAACATGTATGTACATTTTTAGATCTATTGAGGTAATTATGCGGGAGATATAAATTTTTTTACTCCCACATAATTATTCTTCTACGTTAAAACATCGGAAAAAGTACCTAGAAAAGTATAGCTAGATCGATAGGAAATTTAATTCTCTATCGATCTATATATATATGATTATTGGACCTTAAATTGACAAATTTTCTCTAACATTTGAACCAGCATGAGCCCGAAACATTCCCTCTTCACTCACCGTATAGTGTCTTTGTCACACTTACGGTTGGAGTGAGCATTTCACTTGCACTCACGCTTTACAATACTCGGCGCGTGCGCAGAAGTTTTGTGTGAGTGCGAGTAAAGTAGAGAGATATGTATTGTTCTCTGTCGCACCCAACGGCGCCAGAAGAGGAAAGTGCGCTCGGGGCCCCAAATATTAAAACCTGTATAACTTTTAACATAGATGAACTGTTTAATTTTTTATTCTGCACATTTTGAGCCCAAAATCGGGCTGATCGGTGCATTTTAACCAAAATGAGAACGATTTAAATAATTCATTATTAATAAAAATAATGAACAAATAAATTTGAAAAAAAAAAATTTTCTCTGAAAATTTCTATCATAGATATGAAAAAAGTGTTCAGTACTTTTTTTATTAAAATTAAATTCTGAACAACTTTTATTCAAAACATTGTTTCATAACTACGATGGAAATCGAGAAATTCGCGATGGGGGGCGGTTTTTCACGATTTACCCCCCCCCTATGCGTGTCAAACATTTTTGGCCTACACCATCGTGTTCCTCGCGAAATTTCCGATCTAGTCATCTATAAATCATCACTTTGGCCACAGCAAACCAAAATGATCTCATTTCCCTCATTTGATTGGACTATAACCACAGAGCTAAGACATCATCTCTGACATGATGTCTATGTTTATAAATTGTATAATCCAGGCTTGAGTACGACGGGTGGGGATAGAGCTTGCCGGCGAAGTGCCAGAACTCACCACGGATTGTTTAAACTACTTTTTAATGCTAATAATAATATGATTAACTTTTTGATAACATAACATTTTTAATACATGTAAAGATGTATAAGTTGTTAAACACAGGCTATTATCAATGTATTTATACAAAAAAAGGTTTATGGCACTGTTCAAATATTTTCCGACTTAGCGTCAATAAATTCAATGAGTAAAGAGAAAAAAAAATCAAATTGTTATAAAGAATTAATTATAGCATGATAATGTTATAATTACATGCTAATCTAAAATTTTTTTTCTTTCTTTTGATTGCATATTACTGCAATTTTTACGTGCTAAACTGAAAAAATAGTATTATTTATTAAAGTGTATGAGAAAGCAGTTAGTGACTCTGTTTTGACACATTGTCACTATTCCGCAGTCGATTTTGAAGGAAATAAAAGAAAAAATTCTACATATCGTTTATTTTCAATGTTAATATATACAAATTGAAATCATATCCAATTGAAAGTCGAAAAGAAAAAAAAATTGCCTGACTGGGATTGAACCCGGCTCCTCGCCGGCAAAACCAAAGTCGGGCGCTCTAGCCACGGAACCATCACCATTATACTCTGTTTATTTATGTTTATTAGTGCCGGAACTCGCCTCGGATTGTTTTAAATGTCTTGTATTATTAATAATTGTAAAAAAAATGCTACCATTCATCTTGTTTCATAAAAGATGTATCTATGACACCTTCCCTGTTATATGTATACTTGTCATCAATGAAATGGAAGAAGAATGAGAGAAAATATTAATAAAAAAAAATAAAAATCTTATTTTAACATATTAAAATTGTATTTATATACAATTTCATTTACAAAATTTTCTTTTTTGTTATAATTTAAAAATTATTTTCAATTTCATCTGTTCATCGGTAATAACGATTACTTGCTTGTTGATTGTCTTCTATCATCTGTAAAAATTTACCCTGTTTTACTAACGGAGTCACGACCACGATTCATTTCAATTCCTCCATGTCGAAGCAGGGTAAGATGGCGACACTTCCTTTGAAAAGTTATCCTTATGGCGTGGACTCTATCAGTCTTCTCTCTATAACGGTTGCCTACTCTATAAAATATCTCTATACTGGTGATATCTAGTTGTACAAAAAAGGTGATGAAAAGTATTAAAGTATATATCTGAAGAGGTCATTTTCCAGTTTAACTATATAGTAATTTTGTTTACTGAATCCTATTATTTGATTATTATTTTTTTTATACTGTATTATTATTAATAATTTCACGAATATTTTTTCGTTTTGTAATTTTTTCGTCGTACTGCTTGTTTTTTTGATTTGCTATTCCACTTATAAAATAAAATTAATGTTTTTGACGTGGAATAGAGTTCAATGAGTTCGATCAAAAATCAAAGAAAAGTAGATAAATCGATTTTTTCTTCAAATATTTCTCATGATTCATCATCAAATATAGGTGCAATCACTAAGTCTCCAGATATATTACATGTAAATTCAAATAAACCATTGCAATCCAGTGTTTCACAACAATTTTTAATCCTTGATGAATCAATTAAAATCAATATGAAACAAATGAAAAAACTAAACACCAATGAAACACTAATTAAAGAAGAGCCTCTCATTAAGGTTATTTTTCAAAACCATAAGATTGCTAGGTAATCGTAATTATTTTCTAAAATACATTCATAGTAAATAATTTTGCTATAGGAGGGTATAGGGAAATTGCATGTATAACCTTCAAAAAATTGAACAGCGTTTATGTTTGCTATTGCATATTTAAACAGCTTAGTTAATTGACAATTTTATTCTTCCCATGTATTTAAAGCTTATTTTAACCGGAACGTATTTCAATTTTGCAGCCAATATCGAAAAAAAATAAAAGATTTTCTCCAAGATTTATTGTCGGTGACTTTACCTAAGGAATGTGTAAATTGTACTGATTTAATTTTAGAAATAAACAAGACAGATTTGAATTCAAATAACAATTCAGAACATTCTACAATTGATGATGAACCATTATTTATGATTGACAGTACTCCTGCACATCATGGTACACTCGATATCCCAATATACGGAAAGGTTAAGTTATTTCAGTTTGTTTTTGTTTATAATTATGTGAATTGATTGTTTCAAATAATGTTTTTTACAGAAATTTGAACGAGTTTTAACAGAAACACATGACAATGCATCAGAAGAAATCGATTGTAAAAGTCCCAAACTAAACTGCTTTAACTGTCTAGGAAACCATAATTTACGCGATTGTACTGAACCAAAAAACCATTTTACAATTAATAAAAATCGAAAAGAATTTATGAATAAAACAGGGACAAAAAATTCTCGATATCATTTAGATCAAAAATTTCAACCAGGAATAATAAGTTCTGAACTAAAAAAAGCACTCGGATTAGCAAATGATGAGCTTCCTAAACATATATATAAGTAAATATCAAATTTTCTTATACATTAGGCTAAACTTAATTATCAAATGTGTAAAAAAACTATCATTTTAAAACAAATTTGAATTTACAGAATGAGACTACTAGGATATCCACCAGGATGGTTAGAAGAAGCGAAACTTGAACATTCAGGTTTAAATCTCTACAACTCAGATGGTCATCGAGAAATGGATCCAAAAGAGGAGCTAGACGAAATCTTCTGCCGAAGCTCAGTTATGGAATATGACTTAAAAAAAATTTACGATTTTCCTGGATATAATGTACCACCTCCAGCCGGCATTCGAGATGTAAGGAACTGAAAATACTTATCAATAAAATGCAGAAATTAGTAAAGAATAATTCTGTATGTCTTGGGAATGACAGGAATACTGGAGTGCAGATCAACAAACATTTCATAGCAAAGCGGTTATGCTACAGATGTTGAAACATCAGAAAGCTGAAGATGTTTATAAGAGAAAAAAATTCAAGAAAATATCCGAGACGAGAACTGATGATATTATTAAAGATGTTTCAAAAGAAATTGAATCCTCTAAGGGTAAATAAATTTAATACTTTGACGAAATCGCTTGAGTTTCATCTAAAATTTTTTTTTCATTAGATAATCTAACACTGATCAACGGAGACCATTCTTCTAATTCTAAAAGTACCGGAGAGTTATCCGATTCACTATCTCTAGATAGTGAAAAAGTAATTACAACATGTATATCTTCACAGGTGATCTTTTACTTAAAAGTAGAAAATGAATAATCGCAAATTTTTTATTTAACATTGAAATATTAGTACGTAATTAAAAAATTGTTATTGACAGGTTAATGGCAATGATGTGTCTATTAATTTATCTTCTCTGGTTGAGCTAGAAACAAGAAAGAAGTATTTGTTGCAAGAATTGAATGATTCTCATTCACTTTTAAATCCGAAATTACTGAAGACTACAAACAATTTAATAATTGAGAAAAGTTCTTTAGATGACACTCATTTGAATTCACCTATTGATAAGAAGTGTGATAATATCGCTAAAGTTGGCTCAGTTAAATCAATTGAATTAGGTACTCCATTGATTGAAAGAGTTTCTATTTATAATAAATTACCATCAAGTGAAAAATTTTCTAAAAATATTTGTGATGTTATCAACTTTGAAAACTTACCTGAAACTACTGGCAAGTATGAAAAAATGAATGATATTATTCAAAAAATTCGCTCTACATTAACGCCAAAAAGAAATCAATAAACTCTAAAACAAGTTATCCATAACTTTAGTAAAGTGCATAAAATTATTTCTTGATTATATACATTACAACATTCAGCGCAATAATATTAAACAATATTTAAATAGAGAGAAAAGATGAAATTTTCATTCCATTCTTAAACATAGTTAAATGAAGTATGAATCATGATTAAAAATGAAGTAAACAATAGATTTAGCATACAATTTTTACAGTAATATGAGATTTTAAATTTATTTGTCCTTCATATTTATTAGTCAAGTTTGTAATTTTATAAGTAACTAATTTTAAATGCATAAAATAAATTTATATTGGTTCAATAAATACTTAATATTCGGAAACATATCTTTAGCTATCGAGCATGGGGTAAATTTGGTTTTCTTTTTTTTAATTATTGTCAAAATTATTCATATTATATAATTAATTTTTTTTATTTTTCTAACAAAAGTTACAGTTAATTTTAATCTGTCGTTTATTATTATTATTATATATTACATTGAATGGTTTGTTTTTAATTCATAGAAGATGGTGGTGTAGGTGGATCATCTTTCGGTCCTTTTTTGAAAATCTAAAAATAATTGAGTTAATATATATATATCATCATAATTGTTTTTAACATAATAAAATTTTATATTTTGTGATATTATGGCTACAGGACAAAGTTAAAAGATTTTGAAATATTTATAACGTGACATTTATTTTGAATTATCAATTTATGTAATTGAGATCTATGAGCACCGAATTAGACGCAGAAATTCAACTAAAATACATCGATATTTGGTTTTTGAGTACTTCAACAAATTGTTGCAGAATTTTCTAATACATAAAAGGTAAAATTATATCAGATTCCCTAGCTATTAATTAATATAAATGGAAAAAATATATAATGTAAAGACAAACTTGTAATTTAAAGTTATCTGAATTTAATTTTTACTTTAGTTAATAAACTTAATTGAATTAACTTTGTTTTTATCTTTTACAACGTTTTTGATAACTATATTGATGCAAAATGTTTAATTTTCAAGTAAAATTTGTAAGAGAAAAACTTGTATATATTTAATTGTTACACAATTTATAATTAATTTAAAATGTATATTTAAAATATTTTTCAAAATAGTAACCATTAAAATGCACATAGAGAAAAGTATTAGATGAATAAACATTCATACTTTTTTAAGATTAATATTTTGAACAGTCTTAAAAATATTGATCATGTGTATCATTAAAAGTTAAAATTAATTGTAGACATTGTTTTTACACTTACCAATAAATTAGTATTATTTTTCCAATTCTTTTTTAAGTCCTGATGTCGAAAATTTGATTTGAAGAAATAAAGAAGTATAATTGCAAGTAAAGCAATGCCAAGAAAAAGATAATCACGATTTAATTGATTGCTGTTCGGTCCGGGAACTAAAACATTATTAATGAATGGTTTCGAATAAAAAGTAAGAAACAATATTGGATATCTTCTAACTACAACTTATATAATTGAATATTACTGTAAATTATAAATAATATTGAATTAAATACTTACGGTGATCAGCAGTGAAACATTCATTATCAATACAATAGAGCTGTGTTTGTTGTAGCTGCAATAATAATTCAAAAAAACCATATTCATGAAAAACGAATGCGAAAAACTATTGGTAGAGAGTAGGGAAACAATTTTTTATTGAAAATTCATTTATGTAATCATGAAGTTTTAAAAAATTTGATTACTCTGACTCTACTCGGACATTTCTCCTGATAATAGATTTGCTAAAAGTTGTGTTTAGTATTGAGTTGGGCGGTAATATTTGTGATATTATAATCAGATTTGAGCTGAACTATCATCAGAATAAAAATTATGCAATTAGAATTTAACACTTGATGATTGATTTACCCATTTTCAGTGTTAATCAATCGAAGTTTTTAGGATTTTGTATATTTTAATAAAAGAATAGAATTACCTTTTACTCATGTAGTAATAAAAAAATTTACCAATGACAAAAAACGCTGTATTGCTTCATAATTCCATATACTTTCGCACATGTCTAATCCTTTATCTTCCATGTCAATAATAAATTCTTTCACGATCTAAATTTAGCTGAAAAAAAGATGATAACGGCGAGTTAAATTATTTAATTAGTAGAGTATGTAATGAGTTAAAATTTATTAATCAATTCAATTTGCTTTTTAAAAATAAATTCAATAACATGTATTTTTGTAATGATTTTTCGTTAAAATTGGATTACAATCAAGAAAGGATTTATCGTATAATGCACCATTAAAAGTGAATTCAAATAAACAAGTTATTATCAATTGTATTAAATCGAAAAATATAATCTTGAACTAATATAAGATACTCATTATTACCTCGCGATACTAATGTTGTTTAATTTTCGTACGATGAGGCATTTATTCAATGAATTACAATAAGATACTTTGTTAATAGTCATCAGAAAGAGAAGGAAAGAGAACGCCATGAAAGAAACTCAATTGTCCAATAAAATTGGTCATAAAACATGTGGGAAATAATACCGCTAACTTTAAATGTATCTCTGATGGTTTTTTGTGCATTTTACGTATGTAAATATAATAATGAATCATTTTTATATCTCGATAATTAATTTTTTTTTTCTGAAATTTAGATTATTGTTGAATCCGTCGATATATTAAATAAAAAGTTAATGTTTTATTGTACTTATATTTCTTATTGCAATATACAACAAAAAACCGTATATAAAAAGTTATTGAAGATTTTATTTAAATATTTATAGTCATAAATTGGTCCGATTTTCAATTATTGTCGAGAGCCCCACTGGGTTGAAAGTGACGATCACGTGACTTCGACACCTATATAGACATCAACTCGCCAGAGTAGTTGATATTTGGTCAGCCGTCGTTGACAGAATCGTTTACTCTCTATAGTCATAAAAATCGCTGTCAAATATATTTATATATATAAATAAATACATCTATATATACATATATATTCACTTAAAACTATTTTCATTGTTCATTACAATTAAATATATTGAAAAGAAATTCGTGATTAACGCTTTTGAGTGCTCTGTCAAAAATAATAATTTTATCATCATTTTAACGCTAAATATTTGAATATTTTTTTTCTACAATAAATTTTTTTTATGGTAGGGTTATAATAATGAATTAATAATTTAATTAATGGAGTAGCCTATTTACTAGTATTTTTGGTCTAATTCAACTCATGGAAATGGGTTTAACGGATACAAGTTTTGAATTACTATTAACTCTGTGGAGGATTTGGTTCAAAACCCAACATCAGTTCTTTAATATCTTCATTTATAGTCGAATTCCTTTTCGTAGGTCACAGTAATATTGATTATTAGCCATTTATCGTAAGTATCTCAAAGTCAATTTTATTTATTTAAGTATTTAAGAAAAAAAGAACTCAACTCAAAGTTTGTGATAAAATAATTTGCTCCTAGTAACATACTATTTTTCAATTGATTATTTGTAATGAAAATTTTTTAATGATTTACTTCGGAAATGTAGCAAATAGAAAAAAATTGCCAGTTCTCAAGGCTAGAATAGTTCATAATGATAGTAATGTCGAAAGTAATGTGTCGACTAACGTAATGAAGGCATTAAGAGGAAAAAATTTGATTTTAAAGGAAAAATACTTGATTCAAATAATTCACCTACATTTATGGCGTAGTAAAATGTTTGAGGTGAATAATTTTGTCTTGAAAATCAAATTTTTTCCTTCCAGTGTAAATTTAGTTAAGTTTTGTGTATGCGGCAGAAATGCCTCTAAGTTCACTTATTGTCAAAATCGCCTTTGAAGTTGTTGGCTGATATTTGATAGGATAGCTGTCATGTTGAGTACAATAAGCTTATAATTGTTTGAAAGTTGATATGTGCTAAGAGCCATCAATAAACTGTCATCACTGTTTTACGCGCTTATCGCTCTTCAATTTTCCACCCTATCCTTGTTTATTATATTTCTTCATGAAATGAAAATCAATCGTTCATGTTATGAATTTTACAAAATCCGAATGGAATAATTACGTTTTGACTTTAATACTTATGAGTTGAGTATCATTCAAATGGATTTTAATATTACTGGTGTAATTAAGTCAGGTTTCCGTCCAACTCAAGCGCAAATTCGCTTAACAGAAAATAGTGAATGATGTCAAGAGATTTTCATAACTTAATAAAAAATATTTAAAATAAGCACCAGCATTTTTCAAACCAAATTGATGTACATAAACATGCAGGGACGATTGTTATTAGAACAATTTTTGATAACTTTTTTTCTAAATTTACTTTAAATCGAAACAACCATTTTTACAGAATCAAAAAACTCAAAAGAATTAGGAGAAAAAATTTTTTTCCTTGCTTAAACTGAGACGTTGGTCGTGTGGATCGTTCGGGTTGCGTCCTGATCACCAGACCGATATTTATCTATCATATTAAAAAATTTTTGACTTCGGAGTATAAAACGTAACTCATCCCAATTTGTTTGAAAGAAGAGACAGAACAGAACATCACGTGTTACATAAAATGACCTACATGTAATTTATAATTTCCCACTCATAAACTTAACAATGTTACGTAACATTGTTATGCTCTTGTTACATATAGATAAGAATGATTTTATTTATAAATAAATATGTAACATTCTCAGTAAACACTGTTATATCGTTGTAGTATGGATGTTATTAATTGTAGTAGTAATGTTATTAATGTGACATACTTGTATTGAAGTAATGTAACATGGAAGTGACATAGACGTTACTTTTTCCTACTCAGCAATATAACAATGAGTATTTTCTATTTAGAAACACAACTTGACACTGAGTCGAGTTATGTTCCTAAATCAAAAGCATCCAATATAACATGACTTTGTGATATTACTACAGGGTTGATATTACATGAGTTATCATGTGATTTATGAGTATATATTTAGGTTATTTAAAAAAAGAAAATATCAGTGCTCTGCAGTGGTCTGGGTGCGACCCGAAAGGTCCACACGACCAACTTCCCAGTAGAGAAAATGAAAAAACAATTCGAATAGAACCCGTTTCCATTCTTTATAACAAATGGAATTGTTATAAACGAAATGAGTCTGTTTTTATTCATTTGATATGGTTAGTTACTTTATTCCAGTGAAAGAAAAAATTGTGCGTTAAAAGTACTCATATACGTATATAGAATGGATCCCTATTTTTATTGTTTATAACAATTTAAAACTTGTTATTTAAATATTACTATGATCAATAATCACTTGTTAGTAACAATGTTCAATTGTTATGAACACAATTCCATATTATTGAGAATTATTATTGACTATGAGAGCGTCTTGAATGCTGTTTTCTCAATCCTGACACGAGTTTAAAATTCTTTCATTGCTGATATCGTTTTTTTAATTTTTTTTTTTCGATGAAATATTGTCATCATATATCCATACAAGTATTCTAATCACTTAATATTCATATTTCTGCAATGATCTTGAAATTTTGTCTAAAAAATGGTATAATTTATAAATTGCAAAATTCAAGTAATTTCCTCTTTTCCCAGTTTTTTGATTCTGCATAAAAAATGGCTCGACCGATTTTGCTGAAAATCTAATCAGTTCTAAGTTACGTAATTACGCGTCGAATGCAGTTGGTCCCACGTCGATATCATTTTTTGTTCTCGAGATAATCGAGGCGAAAAATAATTCCGAACGCACGTACGCACATACGCACATACGTACATACACACACACACACAGACGTCCACGTAAAAACTATCGTATTCAACTCTGGGGACCTTAAAACGTGGAGATATGTCAAAATTAGCGATTCGCAAAATCGGACCCATTGCTATAACTTCCCACTGGGAAGTTAAAAAAAATCATATACATATTATTATTTATATTTTATATGATTAATAATATATCATTATTAGTTTTCGTATTTTTTACCGAAATAACAAATATTAAAAATTAAAACGTGAACGTTATATATAATAACATTCATGTATACATGCAACATCCCAGTAAACACAATGACATAATTAGGATATCACACAAAGTCAGGTTTGATATAAGTTGTAAGTCACAGATATGGTTACCATCTCAAGTTTTTAAAACCTCGGACTGAAGCAGTAAAAAAACCCAGATAAAACAAGGATTCATTTCATCAAAAACCAAGGCAGATCAAACTTAAAATTTTTTACTTAAAATTTTTTACTAAAAATTTTAAAATTTATATAAATCTCTATTATGTTAAAACGTAAAAAGTTTTATTTAGAACAAATCGCAATTATTAAAATTAAACATTGATTCCATTCAGATATACATAAAACAATGAAAATATATCCATAAAACCATTTTTTATATAATTTTTGAACTTTTTTATAAAGAAACTAAAAAAAAAAAATTCGTACATTCCAAAAAAAAGTACCCCAGACAGCCCTCCCAGTCAAAATACTCTAACGTAAATATGATTTCCAAGTAACGTCACTGTGACTTACTTGATGTCAAGCCGATGTAACAATTATATCATTGCGATGTTAGATGAATGAAAAATTATTAAACTTCCATTAGGAAGTTATTGAAATTGGGTAACTTTATTTTTATTTCATGCGTTGAGAATACTGACCTTGTGAATTTTAAGAATTTTGAATTTTAAATTCACTTTTTCGCGAAAACGGTACTAGATGCAAGAAAATTTTTCAGACAAAAGTTGTAGATTTTAACATTCTCTACAACTTTTGTTTGAAATATTTTTTTATATCTATAATAGTTTACGCTAAAAATGTGCAAAGGGGAATTTTGGAGCAATCTTACCCTTTCTTCACCTGGACGCTGGGCTCGCAACCCCCTTAAAACTATCCTTTGTTAAAATTAGCATGCCTAGGAATATTTCAGCTGAGTTTGACCGGGGTTAAAAAATTGCTATTTCAGGTCTCACTTGACTGAACTATAGGGCACATTAGACGTCATATTTCTTCCTTTTGATTACCCTATCATTCAAATGAACTATGTCTGTAAATTAGCCCTTGTTGTTCTCTTATGTTTTATAATATTAAACTATTTGGAAATAAACAAGATAGAGTAGCTCGTCCAGCAGACGTCTTCACCGTTAAGAGAGTTAAAAAGGTAGTTACTAGTAAAATTGATTTTAGGCCGTATGAGGGATGGCGGAGGTGGGTCAACAGCGGGAGTACACCTGTTTGACTTACTAGTAAAATTTTTTTTTTTTTCAAAGTTCATCATTTTATCTAGATTATTTATCCAGAACTCTTAAATGAACAGTTTTCCTCGAACTATTACTGGAGCTAAGAATCCAAAAGGATAAAAAAGCTGAGCCACTTCAGAGAGCACTTAGCGTTTCGTTATTTTCTTAACTGTTGAGTTTTTAGAGAAAAAGATGAACTAATCTAGTGCAGGACTTCAAGATAATTTATAAGTTTTTAACTCCGTATCATCTAGAGCTTGAGCAAGAACAGTTGAGACACTTTGACGAGCTAGAACTTGTAAAAGAGTAGAGCTATTGCTTGATCACTTTGTTAGAGAGAAGGAGCTATTATACGAGGGTATTTGGTACCCTTCATCTTCTGTTGGTTAAAGTAAAACTCATGATAGAAGAAATAGAGCTTGTTGAATTTCATATAAAACGGTCGTGAGCTGATATGAAACAATATTATTGTGTTCATCGAGTCGAATAAATTTTTGAGATAACGCGCCTGCTCATAGAGCTCAAAAAACCATTTTGAAAATCAGTGAATTAAAGTACAAACTATTGCAACATCCACCCTATTCGCCAGACTTGGTTCCCTCTGATTTCTGGCTTTTCTCACATCTCAAAAAATGCATGCGTGGGGAATGATTTTCATTGAACAAGGGAGTAATAGCAGCTGTGGAAAAGTATTTCAACGATCTTCTGAATTTTTATTACAGGGACGATAACCATAAATTAGATGATCACTAGAACAAGTGTATTGAAGTTCAAGAGATATTTGATCTATATAAATAAAATTAGAGTGTCTGTCCGTGATTTTAAAAAAACTGCTTCAAAAGAAGCTCAGAGGGTTATTAGGATGCTGGTAAAACATAAATGACTATTTTTGGAATTTTTGTCTGCCTGTCCGGGGTAATCTCGGAAACGGCTAAATCGATTTGATGAAACTTTGCATACATGAAAAAGTAAATGTCAAGATCGAGAATTAAACCCAGACCTTTTAGTAACGCGTTGGCTGCTCTAACAGTTAAGTTAAGGCTACGCTGAAGCCAGAGAAGCGACTGATTCCCCCTATCCAAATACATGGAATCGGGATATTTCTAATTTCTTCGCCAATTTACAATTATTTCTACGAAATTAGGTACCGTATTACTTGAAACTTCACT